TCGCATTGAAAAAAATGCATACACACTTGACTTTGAATATCCCTTTTCTGCTGTGCAAGCGTTATCTGTTGCATTAGCCAACATAACTCAACGTTTTAAATAACTAAACACCACATTTTTTGAGTAATTTCATTTTAATAGTTTTGAAAAAATTGCATTTAATTTAAACAAAATATAACAATTAAAACAGTCATTTTAACAATTATTTATTTGTATTTTTGTTTTTAAAACGCATTTATTTTTAGTTTTATTTTATTTATTTTTATGTGTTTAAAACATTCACAAACACTTCATTTGTTTGCAATTAGCATTGTTTTTATTGATATATTAAAAATTTAAGTTTTAAAACTGGTAGTTTGTTTTTGTTTTATATTTTAATGCTCTACTTTTTTGAAATATGGCAATTCTTCTAACGGAGCAGATATTTTAAACTCTCCAGGACCATTGTAAGTTTTTCCATGTTGATCAATCCAATTTCCAGCAGGCAGAAAAACATTTCTTTCATGTTGACCTTCTTTTAACACAGGGGCAACCACTATATTTTTACCCAACATAAACTGATCACCTATTTTAAGTGCCCGAGCATCATCGCTTTCGTACCAAATTGGCCGAATAATTGGACTACCTACTTTAATTCGCTCCTTTGCTAAATCGATTATCGTATCGCTATGATCAAAATGCAATTTAATAAATTTTTCAGTCAATTGGGAAGCTTTAGCACTTAAACTCCACGGTGTTTTAGTGAATGACATGCTAGGCATGAATGTAGTTGCCTGAAGTAAACGAATGTACTGCTCTTCATTGATCGTGTGTGTGGCGACATTTTTAGGTCTTGTGTCAAAAGCGCCAATGGAAAAGGGAATGATAAAGGAGTATCCGGCAATTGACGCTGACAGTACAGTGGGAATGAGCTCGTCTAGTAGCTGTTGAGGGCTAGTCATAAAGTAGTCGATTAATCGGTAAAATGCCGGCAAATGTTGTGACTTGTATGCGAATTCGGCAATAACAGTGGCATTTGACGCATGGCACGCCGTTTCAATGTACTTTGTTGCTAGCAAACTGTTGTACTTGTTGAACAGTACATTCTTGAACTCTGCCGATCTATCGAAAATAAATGATTTCAACCAGATACTGTCTATTTTGTAGTCATTGTGCAGTTTAGCAAGAAGAGTGGAGTAAAATTGTGCAGCCGCTGGCAGTGACAAATCAACGTACCACAGAGAGTTGTTCCAATGGTCGTGTAAAATGTACTGGTTGAGATCTGGATGAGCTGATGATTTTACCAAGCGTGGACTGACCAGCATTGCTCCTAATTGAACATTTTTATTCAGTAGCCTAGTGGTCAAATTGTTCATGTGCGGAAATAGTTTTTCATTTAAACTATATTTGTTTGTGTAATTGATCCAATTGTAGTGCTCTACTACAAACTCGCTTTTAGTAGATATTTTATTTGTGTCTAGCTCATTGACAAATTCCACAATTTTATCTTGATCAAAAGTTTTTCCAGTGATCACCTCACTAAACCAACTTGGATATCGAAAAATGTTCAAGTTTTTAGGAAGCTCAGTTGGTTTGGTAATGTATTTTGACTGATGCACAACATAGTCAGTTGTTGAACGGACTGAGGCCGACGAAAATAGACGAACTTTCAAGTTTAAGTCAGTGTCATTCAGGTGTCGATGAGCGTAATAGTAATTGTCATAAAACACAGAAAAACAAACAACAGCGTCATTGCCGTTAGGATCACGACGAATAAATAGCGGTTGATATTGGTCCAGGTGAACGGCAAAACCATCTGAATTTAGCAATAAGTGTTCAAGCAAAAATTGAAACTCTCTAGGCAAGTATGTTGGGTTTGAAAATCGTTCGAATTCAAACATGTAGTTGAATTGAACTTTCTCCATTTTGTGTTTAGGATCAGCAGGCCAGGTCGATCTATTGCTTTGGTAGCCCAAATACCAATAGGCTGAATTGTGCTGGTAGTGAAAGCACATTTCACGAGAAAAGTCGTGCTTGTCATGATGCCAAGCTACACTGTACTCGCTAACTAATTTATTAACTTCAGTAATAGCTACGTCAATTATACTTGAATCGTTAAGTTTTAAAGACCAAGTGGTTGGGTTTGTTTGTTTAACTTGTACAATTGCGGTGCTAAGTGAAAATTTTAGGGTTGGCGTTTGTGCTCGGTGATGATTTGGTACTTCGACAACGTGGCCATCAATAATGGTAAACTGAGTTACATTTTGATTATTTTTCACAATTTCAGTTTTGTTTAGGGCATCACAAACAAAATAACTAAAAATAAAAAATAAAAAACAAAAGCTTTTTAATAAAGCCATTAGTTACCAATACAAATAATTATATTAAATAATAAAAAATTGTGCTTAAAATTAATGTAATAAAACATTAAATAAAAATATAATTTGTTTATCAAAATAACTTTGATAATTTATTAAATAAAAAAAATTGGCACTAATATTATCAAACTAATTAACTAAAAAATTTTATCAAATACAAAATCTTTACACCAAATTAATTATTGAACTGACAATTTGCTGGCAATTCATCAAAATTTTCAATTAATTAAACTATGTATTACAAAAACTCAAAACTATAAATGCATTAAATTTTTTGAAATTTATTGCATTTTAATTTTTATTATATTTTGTTTGTTTTTGTAAGTTGAAAATGACTAAATATATCGTTTTATTAGTAGCAACAGTTGTTGGATTAGTTTGTGCAGATGAAGTTTTACAACAATTGTTAAATCGAGTTCCAGCAATCCATGAACTGTCTAAACCCACGTTAAAATTTTTAAAAAATCAAAATATGAACAATGAAGCTGTTGAGATTGAAAAACAATTAACCAATTTAGATAATCTTGTTAAAAATGGCAATCATGATATTTTTGGAACAAGAGCTCAGTTACTTGGTGCAGAGCGAGTATTAATAGCTTTAATGAAAAACGCTTTGATTAAAAGATCCGAATTATTGTTTCCTAAAGCCGATCAAGCAATTCATTCAAACCCAAACAGTGCAAATGAAATAAAACAAGAAAAAATTCAACTAGAACAATTAACTTCAACTTTAAAAGTTTCAATTAATCAGTATGATAATAATATCAAAATTGAAAAAGAAATGATTGTAATTCAAAATAAACTTGAACATCTAATTACTAAAATTTTTTAACAAAGTGTGTTTAAAAATAAAACTTGTTAAACAACATATTTTTGTTTACAAAAACATAATTTCAAAAACAATAAAATTTATTTAAATTAAAAATTAAAAATATAACTTTAACTTAATCTAAAATAAAAATAAAAATATATAAATTTTTTTTATAAATTTTAGTTACGACACTTTTTGTCAATTTTTTTTAGTAAAATGTTTGTGTGTAATGTTTGTTTTTTACAAGTTTTAAAGTTAAATTTATTATTTTTTTTAACTTACGTTAAAAACAACTAATTGGTATAAAAAATGCTGTTTTTAAAGTTAAGTTTTACTTTTTTTATAAAATTTATCCGGGAAATGCAATAATGAATTTCCTGTTTGTTTTATATAAAACAAATTTAAAACACAAAATTTTAAAAAATTGGTTTTTGTTAATAGTTTAACATGTCTCAATACAATTTAGAAGGAGAGAAACGATGTATCATTCTGGATTACATCAATGGTGAAATTGATGTAGAAGTTTTCAAAAAAACTTTTGAGTTTTTGAATTTTACTGTTGATTGTCCTTTAAACAACCAATTGTCTTTAGAAACAACAAGACAATTATTTAAAGAAGGTATAAATTAAGTTTTTGTTTAGATTTTTTATTAAAACAGTAAATGATTTTTTGTAGCTTCTCAATCAAACCATGGACAATGTCTTGTTTTTGTAATTATTTGCACTGGAGATGAAAACGGTAAAATATTTATCAAAAACTTTTATATTAATTTTATTAAAATAATGACAGGATTCTACACTATAAATAAAGAATATATTGAGTTTGAAGAAATATTAAACAACTTTAATGACAAATCTTGCATTGAACTTAAAAACAAACCAAAATTGTTTTTTATAAAGGTAACTTTTAAAACGAATATGTAAAAATATTACTAAAAAACATTTAAAAATAAAAAAATTAGGGTATAACATTGGTTCAACACAATTTTGGTTTTAAAAATACAATTTTAAAAAACAAAAATGATTTTTTTGTTTGTTTTTCTACATTTTCAGGTAAAAAACTTAAAAAAGTTTTTGCATATATAAAACACTTTTTTTCAGAATTTTTATTGACTTTTTGCAATGTAATTTTTTCAAAACATCGAACTTATGACTTAATGCAAATTTTTGATCTTGTAAATGAAATTTTAAATGATGTTTCTAAAGAAAAATGTAGTTTTATTTCAACTTTAACAAAACGTTTAAAATTTTAAAAAATTTTAATTTTTTTGTATTAGTTGTTTAAAAGTTCGATTTACAAAATATATATAAATATTTATTTTATCCATTATTTTTTTACAAAGTGTTTTTTAATGGCATTTATTTGTGTAAAACAGCAAAATTATATTTAACTTAACAACTAATAATTGTTTTTTGTTGATAAAAATTTAATGTTAAACGTAGCAAAATAAACTGGTTTCTTAAAATCAGTTAACAAGAAATCTATTATTGCTTTTTGTTAGTTGAAAACTATGAGTTATCACATGATATACATGTAGGTTGTGAAACTCATGTATAAAAAAGTCGACAAAATATTGTGAGAAAAAAACTATTACTTACATTTTGACATGTAAAACGCAACATTTTTGATAAAATTAAATACATAACTTTTGTTCTGGTATGTACAATAAACTTTTATTTTGTATTACTTTGAATATTTACTTTTTGTATAAAATGTTTTTAAAATTCAAATTTTAAAAACATTTTTTAATTTTTGTTATACTTGCTAACTAACAAAACATTTTTTAAACTAGCAATAGTACATTTAAGTGTGTCGTTTACACTTTTCAAAAATGTCTAATCGATGTAAACCTCCAGAACCTTCAATTTCACTTATAATTTATAATGTTGGTATGGCAATAGCTAAAGCTGTTGGTGGTTTTTTTCCCAAGTTAAATGCAATTGTTAATGTGGTCGAACAAGGCAAAAATATATATGACACTATTAAAAACGGTGGCAAAGAGGGACCTGATCCTATTCTCCTTGACTGCATGAATCGAAACTTTGAAAATATTAAAGCCAACGCCCAGTCTATTGCCCAAAATGCAAAACTAATCGATAGGAACTACCAGGCTGTGCTTCAGATTTCTCGTGAACTTCAAAACGCTAAAAATGAAATACTAAAAAGTGTTGAAGAAAGCACTATTAAACCAATCCTTTCTGATTTAAAAACTTTTCTTAGCGACTTTACTACAAAAAGCAAAGAGTTATCGTTACTGAACGATGATGAGCTGATTACTCGTTTGGAAAATCCTGATGGTTTCATGTATTTTATTAAAGAACTAATCAAGTCTGGTAAATCGGGAAACTTTCACGCACGTCTAAATGACATAATTAATCTAGATCTTGCAATACCTGAGAACGATAAAGACTCGTTTAAGTTTATCATGCTATTTTTACTGGTTAATAGTTTATCAAGTTATGTTAGTATGCTTGAAACACTAAACGCTCAATACGGCAAACTAATTGAACAACATTTTGACCACAGCGAAATTAAAGAGTACAACAAACTTTTAAAATTTCGTTATGATATGTTCAAGGACATTGGAACTGGACTAATTGCTAGTAACACAGGTCTAATTGACAAAGTCATTGCCGTTTTGGAAAAAGTTGCTTCAGTGCCTGATTTTGCCGACAAAAAAGATTTATTAACTGAACTGAGTGTAGCTCAAGAGAACTTTAAAAAACTGAAAGTAGTGATTGCCAACAAAATTAAGTCTCAATTTGTTGAAGTGCCCAAGAGGATTACCGTTAATCCGGATTTCTCAAAATCAAAAATTAAAACTCCAGCCAAGCCAAGCTGGATTGCCAAACGGAAAGTCTCTTATGCTATTTTATACGAGGATGAAAACACTAAAAAGCGAACAGTCGTCAGCCGGTGGTCAAATCCATATCGCATCGGCAGCAAGGCCTGCCCTACCGTTAAAATTCCCCTCGATCCGCAGCGTCGAACGCGAATCATCTACCGAAAGTTTCACCCTGACGACGATCCAAAACTGGTGGCCATTATCACCGCCCCCAATGCCACCTCCTTCGTGGACATTGACCGAGACGTGTTCAACATTGCCAAGGAGACGTCGGAGGACGCCGTCGAGGAGATTGAGCCATACGTCAGGCACGGCGCCAACATTAATGCGGTCTTCGAGAAGGCTCGTACCTCGCTGCACGTCGCCGCCGCCTCGGGCATCCTCGACCTGGTGCGCTACCTGGTGGAGCACGGCGCACGGGCGGACCAGTTTGACCGGAACGGTTACACGGCGCTGCACAACGCCGCCTGGAAGGGCGCCGTCGACTTTGTGGAGGGCGCCATCGCCGAGGGGCTGATGGACGCCAACGTGCTCAGCTACCAGTCGAACACGCCCCTGCACTCGGCAGTGCTCGGCGAGCACGCCCTGGTGGTGGACGCCTTGCTCAGCTTCCCGCAGACGGACGTCACGCTGAAGAACTACCATGGCCTCAGTGCGCTGCACCTGGCGGCGGTGCGCGGCTACGAGGCCATCGTGGAGCTGTTTCTCAGCACAGAATTCGGCGCCGCCCAAAACGCCATCATCAACCAGCCCAGTGACAGCGGCTGGACGGCACTTCATCTGGCGGTGGCCAACGGCCGGACGACAGTCGTCGAGCGGCTGCTGGAGAAGAAGGACCGGCAAGGCAAATCGCTTCTGGTGAATGTGGCCGGGCAGGGCGGCAATACCGCCCTCCACCTGGCAGTCCAGCGGAAGGACCCCGTCCTGGTGCGCCTTTTGCTGTCCAGTGGCGCCGATGTGGCCGCCCAGACGGCGGCCGAGCACCAAACTGCGCTTCACTACGCAGTCGCCCACTACGAGCCGGCGGTGCTGAGGGCGCTGCTGGAGGCAGGCGCCCCGGTCAATCAGCCGGACACGCTGGGACAAACGGTGACTCCGCTGTACTACGCCCTCCAGCACGGCCTCACCGATGTGGTGCGCCTTCTGCTGGCCAGCTGCGCCAAGTTTGACCTGCTCCTGGTGGGCGGCAGAACTCAGCTGCACCTGGCCGCAGTGAAGGGCGATGTGGCCGTGCTTCGAGGTCTGATTGAACAAGGAGCCGACGTTAATCAGAAGTTTTACCTCCATGTGGAGGGCGAGAAAGTGGAGCGACAAGCGCTGGACTTGGCTTTAGAGAATGGCAACGTGGAGGTGGCTGAAATTTTGATTCAAAACAATGCTGAAGTTAAATTTCTATTTGATTGGAAAAACAGTCAGATGGATTCAATCAACAAGCCTTTAAGTAGACTTCACTTGAATGAGGATCAAAGTTTTCAAATGGTCGAAATGCTAAAAAAGGCAAAAAAAGATTACCAAGCAACTTTCACTCTTTTTGCCTGTCGTAAGGGATTTCTTCGCCTATTGAATTCACTAAAAGACAACGATTTTGACAAACGAGTTATAAGTTGTGCAAAGAATGCAATCAAATTTGGTCAAATCGAAATAATTAAAAACTTAAAAAAAATTAGATCTGTAAAATATAAATGGTCCCTTAATGAAAATGATTTAGAATTAGAATTTTTAAATTTATTTTCACTTATAAAAGAACCATACGTGTATTTTATTAAAAATAACTTTGATTTATCGGAAAAAAAATTGGCTGAACTGCTCCATTTGGCTGCTAAAGAAGGACATTACGAAATGTTGAAGTGCACCATTGATCTCCTTCAAGAGCATTTTGAAAAAGAGCATGAAATATATTCAAATAAAAACTTTTTGGTAAGACAAAGCATGGCTGGCTACCTCGATGCACTCAATAACGATGGAAAAAGTTCACTCCTTTTGGCATGCGAGTATAACGCTGATACCAAAATAGTGGAGTACCTACTCAATGCAGGTGCCAAAATTAATCTAACAGAGTCTTCTGGTTCCAGTGAGCTGTACTACGCTGCTAAACATGGAAACCTGCCAAGTGTTAAACTTCTCGTTGCTAATGGAGCTGTAGTAGATCAAATTCACAAAAACGGATACACTCCACTGGCAACTGCTATTGAAGGCAAAGGCAGTTTTGAGTTGGTAAAGTACCTAGAAGAGAATGGTGCCAATTTATATTTAAAAGTTAAAACTGATACAAATGAAGAAATAACTTTGGCTAATCTTGCTTTAAAAGCTGACAAAATTGACGTTGCTGAGTATTTGGTGAAGAAAAAAGTGCAAATTATAAAAGCTGGTTTTAGTCACGCGGAATGGACAAAACTTCAGGAGGTTGCTTTTAAAGGCAGTCTAAGCCTAGTCCAAATGGTTTTAAAAGAAAATAGTACTGAATTGAAAATTGAAGATGACCATGGTCGAGACGCTTTGCACTGCGCCCTTTTAAAACCTTCTGCAAGTAATGCTTTTCAAAAACTTGAAATCATCAAACTTCTTCTATCCGCTGGAGGCAACGTGGACTCTGTGGACAAAGAAGGCATGAGCTTGCTTCATCAAGCTGTCCAAAATGACTACACAGAAATAGCAATGCTCCTTTTACAAAGTGGAGCTAATTTTAATACCATTTCAAACACATTGACAACTCCTTTCTCCACTGCAGTAACTAAAGATAATATTGTTGTTGCGAAAATGTTTTTGAAGAAAGGACTGCTTAGAAGCGTATTTGACGCTAAATCAGTAGACATGCTTCAACTTCTGGTTTCCTATGGAGCAAACCCACTAGAAAGGAACAAAAGTGGAGCAACTTTCTTTGAAATTGCAATCCAAAATGACGATGAAGATGCCCACTTTGACCATATTCTCCGTTGGTACTTGTTTACATTCAAAACTGCTTCTGGTCGCACGGTAGCTCATGAGGTGCAAACGCCAGCTGCACTTCAGTACATTGCCAGTCACGGCGGCAACTTGAACGCACTAGACAACCGACGCGAAACACCACTTCACGTTGCCGTAGCCCGCGGTTCCAGTGAAATAGTCAGACTCCTGATCGAACTGAACCACTGCGTCAATGTTGGGGCGAGAAATGCCGACAATGAGACGGCCATTGACGTCGCCAGGAGGATGAAAAACCTCAGTGGAGATGTCGTCCAGCTGCTGGAGAAAGTGCGCAGTGAGAAGAGGGTGAAACGAAACGTGAGGTCCAGTGAAGTTGATGGCTGTTCACGATGGCTGGATAAACTTTTTTTGCCCAACATAAATAAATTGTCACCGGTGGGAAAACTGAGCGCAGGCATGGCAGCCTTGTGGGGGACTGGTTCGACTGCTGACGTTGACCGCCAAAACTTTGTCTCAACTGAGATGAATCCGTTTAATCCGAGCAGCTCTCCTTCACCAAACATCCCAATCAACTACACTGCTGTTGAAGTGAACAGCACTTTACTGCTGCTAGATGTCATGGCAAGAAAAGTGACTGGACAGCAGTACCTTTCTGATCAAAATGTAAAACCCAACCAGTTGGACATTCGCAGCTACGCTCTGAATGTCACCGAGCAGTTTGGCAAAACACTTCAACAAATTGACGAGCAGTTTGGATATGAGCAGCACTCTAAAGTGAACAATTTTGAGCTGTTTAAAGAAATCGAAGCGCTAACTAGTGCTGAAAAATGGTCAAAAATTGAGCTTGTGTTGAGAGATAGACTGATGTCAATCTATCCGCAACTAGAAGAGAAACAAGTGGCAACACGCATTACAAATCAGTTTATTTAGATTTAATTAAACATTTAGTTTTACATACAACACACAATGTCGACACACTAGTTTAATGATAATTTAATAATAAAAAGTAGCAAAAAACAATTTTATTCAAAACAACATACTACATATTTAATATCAAATTTACATCAAAAACAGCCAAACCACAATTTATCAAAGTCAAGCTCTTAAAACAACAACCAATTTTTGCA